TGGGAATCATATTATAATCTACCCAAAGCCAGATTCTATCTACTTAAGGGGGACTATACCCTAGGGCTCCTAGGACTTTGCAAGAAAAATTGTACGAGGGGATATGGGTTTATAGGGATTTCTGAAACGTAGGGTTCATACATGAGGTTTGGTTCCGTGTTAGCTTGATGGAGTATTCACTAAACTCTGCATGTTAGCATGCTTTGGCCTGCTTGAGGAAACCCTTCCAACAACTTCCAGATTTCTTAGGTCAATCCCTCACCCAGTAATGGGCACCACAAGGGGCTATCGTAGCCATATTCAGGCCCTATTAACTCCATATTAAGGAGCCATTTCTGTAGGGGGGACTGCCCTAAAAGAATTCCTTGAACGAGAAAGGTGCCTTGTACACGGTTGAGACTCTCCATAGTATTTAAGGTATACTTTAGGTGGACCTCACACCCAGTAATAGTGACTATAAGGGATAATAGGGATCATATTAGGGTCCTCTTATTCCACTGTTACAGGGTGGGGGTCCTCCTAAGGTATACTCCTCCTGAATTAAAGGCTGTTAGCAGCACTGGGCCAACATGCCTCCTCAAGGCTAGGCAGGCATCTTGGGAAGCACTGGTGATCCCTAGGCCCCCTAAACCCTGAACACAGCAACTATAGCAGAACATAGGACATTGCCAGGCCACAACTTGGCTAAGTCAAGTGGAGATCCTCATGTAGGGTTTAGCGTTTAAGGCTTAGGCAACTTAACAGTCGATCTGACTAAGAGCCAGGAGTTTGTCAAAAAGCAGGCCCCTAGAAACCCCAAATAGGGTTTGGGGTTTAGGGTTTCATCCTAAACCGGGAAACATGAGCTGTATGTAGCAGGTCGTCAAATTGTTGCTATCTTCTAGGGTGTCTAGGATAGCACTCGTCCTCATCCGGAGCTTGGGGACCATAATTGACCACCTTCCATATACAAGGATTGTACTGCACCTTTTAGTACTGCCCCCACGCAGTAATAGTCTATACTAGGGGTCATGTTCAGTGCTACATATAATCATAATGCGGCAGTATCCAAACTATGCGGCCGATAGTGTTAATACAAGGTCACCGCAGCAGAAACAACCACACATATTCCTACCCTAAACCCTAAACCCCAAAACCAAAATTAATCCTATACAAATACCCAAAATCATTTACCAAGCCCCACTTCGAATCCCTCATGATATGCTAGCTTCCATCTCATGGACCATATTCTTAGCCGTTTGATTCTGTGGTATCACTTAGGTGGACCCCCCACCCTGTAATAGTGACTATAAGGGATAATAGGGATTATATTAGGGTCCTCTAATATTCTTATTATACCACTATTACATGGTGGGGGGTCCTCCTAAGGTATCACGGTACGATCCCGAAACCCTCATATTATTGTTATTTGGGATTGCAGAGGTGCCTGGCCCGCCGAAGTCGCACTGACGCTCAGGGCGTCTGCAATGACTTGCCGGATTTTTGCCTGGTCCTCCGACTTTCGGGTGTAGGATTTGGGGTTCGGGGTTTAGGGTTGGGGGTTTTGGGTTGGGGGTTCAGGGTTTAGGGTGGTCCTCCGACGCAGACATGTTAATTCGAATATATAAACAATTAATGATAGTATTAATAATGATACTGGAGAAACGGACGCTCTTCTAGTATTTAGGGTTTAGGGTTTAAGGTTTGGGTAGCTACCGGGTGGGTAACCATACATGTGGCTTCTATTACTCTTACATGGGGACACTAGGACTGTATAAGGGCTATGGCAGGCTCATATGGGGGAAGCTACGCCACCTGAAGCTTCCTTAGGTCCTCCGATGCAGAATGGTTAATACTACTTGATAGTGACTACTTTAGGGTTTAGGGTTGAGTAAGTGAATTAATGAATGGGATAACGACGATTCCTATATGAGTTATGGAGGGTAGTAACCTGCAAACTAAGTCCCTAGCACTCCGGACATGAACCGCACAGAAGCTCTATCTGTGTCTAGGACCCATTCACTGGAACAGCTCGCAGCTAGCATGGAACTCTGCACAGTGTGCTCCATGAGATTTCATTGGCCCGCCCAATTAAACAAAGTCCCCTGAAGGGGTATGGTAGGTATCAGAAGACTTGCTGCAAGGCTTGCTAGAGAGTGTTAGTGCGTGATGGCTGATGAGTTTCTTAACGGCCAAATAAGCACATAACATGAAGAAGGATACTCTATGTAGAGTAACAGCTGCCAACAAGCATGATCCATGATGTTGGACCTGTCTTACTACTGTGGTCCTTTACAATGTGTTTTGGCTCCCCCTTAAAGAGTTTCCGGCCAGGATTTTGAGGCCCTGCTTTAGGATGTCTACTTGTTGGGGCACGAACAGC